CCTTCATGGATTTGGGAGCTTTTCCTCTTTTTCATATTCTATTTTCATGAACTTTGATTCTTTCACTGGCTTACACAGGAGACGCTATCACTCATTTAATCTGCAAGCTTAGAGAAACTCTATTTTCTTTCTTTCTTTCTTTCTTCCCTTCTTTCTTTCTTTCTTTCTTTCTTTCTTTCTTTCTTTCTTTCTTTCTTTCTTTCTTTCTTAGTTTTCGATTTTTAATTTTTTTATTTTATGTCTATGAGTGTTTTCCCTGCATATCTATCTGTGTACCATATGTGTGCCTTCTGACTGAAGAGGGCAGAGGAGAACACATAACTTCTTAAAACTGATATACACTATTGTAACCCAAAGAGTGGCTTCTTTAACCTGTTAGAGCTCTCCCCAAGAACAGCAAGTAGTCTTAACCTCTCAGTCACTTCTCAAGCCCCAGATTCACTTCCAAAAAGGTTTATTTATTTTTATGGCAGGTGTTTGAGTGCTTTCCTTATTATATATGTGTGTATGCCACATGTGTACCGGGGGGCCCAAATATGCTAGAAGAGGAGCTCCTGGCTGGATCTACATATGGTTCTGAGCCACTATGTAGGTTCTGGGATTGTTGCAAGGTTTTCTACAACAGGAGGCAGAATGCCTAGTGCCTAGCTCTCTGTCTATCTCCATAAGAAACACTTTAACACTAGGCATGCATGCAAAAAAATTATTACCCTTTTCAAGAATGAGTATGAAATCAAATCATTACAAAATAAAAGGATATGAAACTCTTATTCACAGTCCTAGAGAGAACATTAGTGTCTTCCCTTGCCCAATGCTTCCATGAATAGAAACATCTTAAGCATCATGTACTGATCAGCCACAGGACACAGACAAGTAACACTAAATCCACACTATGCTCTTTAAGAAACCAAGTACTGAGACTTCATGAGTCATTCCATGATGTTTCTGAGCTGTCAGGGGCTCATTCACACAAGCTTTATGTGTCAGGAAAGAATTCAGAAGTTAATGACCTCTAATTTCCTGAATTTGCTAAGGAACTACTGAGAATAGTGGCCTGACTGTGCACAACATTCTGCCCCTCCTGTTTAGAGAGAGATGGAAAAACTATCAATATTTGCTGGCCTTCTACTTTGCCATGGAGGAGATCAATAAGGATGCCCACCTGCTTCCCAATGTCACCTTGGGTTTCCACTTTTACAATGCCTTTAACTCCCACCGGAGAACCTTGGAGGGCCCTCTGATGTGGCTGTCTGGAAGGAGTGAGTTTATCCCCAACTACAAATGCAAAACTCAACACAAAGCTCTTGGAATCATTGCAGGAACCAGGCCTGAATTTTCTGCTGCGATTGGAACCCTTTTAGAGCTCTACAAAGTTCCACAAGTAAGTTGGCAAAGTTTTGGTGTCCATAATGACATAAAACATCTGACCAAAAGAAAATGGAGAAGTTGTCTATGTTTCCTGCTGGTGATTTCAAATGTAAGTGAAAGAATTACGTGGCTCCTGCTATGATCAACAGTGGAGTGTGGTGAAAAGCATGAGCAGTAAATACTGTGGATTTCTAAGAAGATCACTTAGCAATATTCATGATTCTACCTCCCGTCATTGGCAAGATGTACTTGGTAGCTCATAGCTGAGTGCTGTTCAAAAGTCAAACATACAACCCAGATAAATAACTGCCCAAGCGGGGGTATAAACATCTTATAATTAATCTTGTAGTCAATGACTGACAGATAGAGGAATAGTAAGTTCAGGACAGGTAAACAAATATGGGACAATCCTTGGGCCATCACAAATGAAAATGTTCCAAGGAGTTTATTTTCTCATTCTGGAAAGTAGATCTCTGAATAGCGCTCATAGAGAACATCCACTTAGATACATCCTGACAATTGGCTCTTGCCAGGCACTACTGAAGCAAAGCAACCATCAGTAGGCATCACTGCAAGTAGAGAAAATATTTGGTGAGTGCTT